TTGATATTAAGGTACATATGGCGATGAAACTCACTTATCAATAATAACTAAAACTTATAGTATGGATAAATGAAAATTTTAATCTATTAGGGGAAAAATAAAACACTCAATTAGGCTACATTGTCGTGCACCTAAGTACGATGGAGGAGTAGTTTCGAGTGCTTGAGAAGAACAAAACACTGAAGAGTAAAGGAACACAGTACAAGAATACAACATTCCAAACAGTGATTAGTTTATATTGTCATGAAAACCATGGTAGTCTATTGGGTGCTCTTTGTTATTTATATCACTGTTTGGGGTGTTGTATTCTTGTGCTTCAATAGATAATAAATCCTTAAAAGACTTTTCGCATGATTTAATTACTTGTTGCTCAAACGTAAGAGACTAGTTTATATTTTCTTAGATTATTTGCATTAGTTCTGAGGTAGCTAGTCAAGCCATGTGAACTCTTTTGTTTTTCTTCTATAAATATCCAGTAAGGAGTTTTTCTTTCTTTTTTTTTCTTTTTTTTTTTGAAAAAGTCCCTATATATATTAAGAACCTGATCTATTACAATGCATTTTGTTATATGCTAATTTGTGAACTTTATCAACATCAAGCCTACTTACTTTAAAAATTTTACAGTACGATTGGTATTTGAGCGAGATTAAGAATGAGCATCTCACAATCTGTGAAAACTTTCACCCGAATGAATTCAAAATTGGAAGTTTCTTGAAGTGCTAATAAACAGGCTAAAGCTCCGATTGAAAAGGAAAGTAAGAGCTTGCAGCATGGTGGCCTTCATTTGCATAAACATATTGTTTGGGAGGTGATTTTCCACGCTCCTGCCGCAGAACGAGAGATTGGATCGAAAGAACTATCTGTATACTAGTCACTGTACTCCCATAATCAATATATACTAGTCTCTTTATCATAATTTCAGTCACTATGTAATACAATATTCAAGAATAGGATGAATCAATTACTAAAGGATCTGTTCCGGGGAATCATAAACTTAGCGTAGCTTTTAGTGGCGGAGTTAGGACACTGGGGGCAAACTCATAACACTATCAAGTACCAACATTTTTCAAAAAGTAAAATAAATAAAGATGTAAGTAAAAATAACCTTTGTATTAAATAAATATTTGTCTCATACTTCCTAATTGATATAGTAAATTATTCAGAAAACAAAGTTATTCGGAAACAACTACAACCATGTACGATGGGTGAATCGTATAGTAAATTTTTTAATTTCTTAAACAGCTACAACTAAATAAGGTTTTTTTCTTTCATTTAAAAAAAAAAAAAATTCAAATGATTGCTCAACTCCTAACTTTTTTACCTTGAAAAGAAGTCAAATTCTATTAAAAAAAAAAAAACCCTATTAAAAATCGTGTGCATATTTTTGTTTTCACTATGGGCCATTTGGTGGGCTTTATGAAATGACAGTGATCTTGTAAAGCCCAATTTTATATATTAATTCTCGAACCTAAAAACTGTTTAATAAAGTCACTTAATGCTTAAAATTATCAGTTTAAGTATTTTTTTCATTTCAGCATGTTTGATAACAATAATTGAACCTCTTAATGAATTAAGTGTCGTTGAAACTGCAGTACAAAATATAAATAATAAGCTTATTGCTTATTCTTAACTACTTAATGAATTCAGTATTTCTAATTCAGTCTTACACATTCAGAATTAAACATTAATTTTTATCAAACAGGTCGATAATCAATTACTAGTATAGACATTCAAAATTAAGCATTATTTTTTTATCAAATAGGTCCATAATCAATTACTAGTATAACAGCCCAAGCAAGTATCCAAGCATCGTTTTAAAGATTAGTTCGTTATATTTTAGAAAATAATATATTGTGAAGTGTTGTCATTGATTAGATTAATTTATGCACGGTTGATGTTATTAGTTTATTATGATTGAATTTGGAGCTCTTGTGCATTTTGGAGCTCCGGTATTTTGGAGCTCCTACACTATGACAGAGGTTTTTATTTCTATTTTGGACCGGATACACTTTTCGTGCCCCAACTTTTGATAGTAGCAAGATCGAATCACCATAAATTTTTAATTGGTAAAAACAGTCCCCTAAAATATTTTTCTCATCAATTTTAATTAATTTAACAGGATTTTTAAAGACGTAACGGTCAAACTTTTTTCTCCGTTAAGTATTTAATTTTTTATTATTTTTTCTATTTCTTTTAATTTAAAATTTAATATAATTAAAAAATCAAAAAGCTGTTTTTCTTTACTCTTTCTCCTCGCCACCCATGCTTCTTCTCGTCGGCCCCGACCACCCGTAGCCGCACCACCACTCCCATTGAAAATATAATCGGGTGGACATTCGTTTCTACTCATTCTAAGCACAATTTCTTCCACTTTGTTACAAAACTCGGCCGTCACATATATGTTTACCATGACTTTGCAGCTAACCTTCAAAAAGACAGAGTATAGACATATCAGATTGATGATATTGTAATGACAGATTGGGAGAGACAAGATTTTGCAAAAGAATCACATATTGCCCCAACACAATATAGAACCGTGAACTTTAATAAAATTTTCTACACACAAGTCATTTTCTCCACTTGTATTAATTAACCGCCTACCTTACCAAGTTGGATCCCTTCTTCCTGTTTTTTTGTTAAATAAAAATGATGCAGCCTCGGTTCTACTTCCGAAATTGAAATCAAAGAAGAGAAAACCCCGCAGTAATTAACCGATAAGCCAAACAAATAATGAGATTACCTAAAAAAGGACAAAAACATTTCATTCTTCAGGGCAAAATTCACTGGAAATAAGCATGCAACAGTGGAGTCAATTGAATATTCTAGCAGTGTATTTCATAGAAACCAAAAAACAAACATATTAGATGCACAATCGGCACTACTAAACTAGGAAAAAAATACAAACTAATTTATTAACTCCCAAGACAAACAATATGACATTCTTTATTCAATATCTCTCCAATTCTGAAAAAAAATTAGAAATACAATTTCACCTTAGGCTGGATTCAATTTTCTGTAGGAAGATCTAAATCGACGATTTGAAAGCCGGAACAACAAACACCACCTCCCGATTGTAAGATAGGGATGGCAGAAGTGAGCAAATTGGACAGAAATGATGAAGATTATACTGCGTTCTCACTGGGATTTAGAAAGAGAAATATAGTATAATCGATTTGGTGGGTCTTCATGAGAATGTTGATTTTGTTGTAATCGGATGTAATGTAATCGTTTGGTTAAAACTGACTTCACTTCGGACTCCAGAAGTGGTGGTGGTGGTTGGTGGTTGTGGTGGCGCGGCCGGATGGTTGGGGAGAAGGAGGAAAGAATTTTTTTTTCCTTTTTATTTGAGTTTTTTTTTTAAAGTCAAATGAATATGGAGCTCACAATCAAAAAAATTAATAAAATATTTTGTTATTAACGGAGAGTTGAATTCTTCCGTCGATTTTGTAAAATTTCTATTAAATCAACTGAACTTGATGAGAAAAATATTTTATGGGACTGTTTTTGTCAATTAAAAATTCATGGTGACTTAATCTTACCAAGCTCAAAAGTTAGGGGACGAAAAATGTATTTTGTCCTTTTATTTTTATGGAGGAATTGGAGGAACGGATCAAGCCTAAGCCATTTACTCATCACTGCCGCCTAAAGGTGATTGAATTTATTGGTGGGTCGAGCCTGATGTTCAACTTGCCAATTATTTGATCCACGACACAATCGATTCACTCGAAAAGGTTATATTTGATCTTCGCATCCCGCATTATAAGAGTGACGGTAGTTCATGGTATAAAGATCGATCTCTTGACAGAGGGTTCGGAAGTTGCTTTACAAAATGCAATGCAACTTGAAGGAAAACTACGCCCTGGGGAAAAGTTAATCATAGTGTAGGATCTTCCACTTGTAATTAGTTTTGAAAGCATAATTGATATAGATTTGAAGTTGGTTGATTGAAATAACAATACAGTATTATGTTTCGTTCGTGACTTTTGGATGAACTTGATCGTTAATTCCTTGATGGACTGATGGTGGGGCAGTACTCTCGTTCTTTGTTGATTAATAACATTTCAGAAATTATGTCTTACAGGTTGAATGAATTGGAATGTGAGGCTAGTTGTTTCAAATTTATATGATATGGCTCTGAGAAGGATATATAATGGCTGATAGATACAAAAGTGACAAACTCAATTTCTGATCATCTAGACAACTGAGAATGCATGATACTGATTGATAGCCGCTCACTTAGAATCAAGGTGAAGACACAATGAACATTTTGTAGGATTAAGTAGCAACTATATAGTACTAATTAGTCATGACATCATCTAGCTGCTTCTAAGTTTAAGCTTTCCTTTTAGTACAATAAAAGAGGCACGGGCCTAACATTACAAGTACAAACCGTGAATTCAAAACACTACTTACATCATGTTTATAGTCACGGTTTGATTTCAAGGGCGGAGCTACATACAAGCCAGATGGGGCTATTGCCCCAACTGAATTTTTTTTTTTTTTGCCTAATAATCCTTTAAAATTTAAGAATTTTTTTTTAAAAAAAATATAATTTTTGCCCTTAAATTACAAATTTTGAAAATCTTGCTCCACTGTATGTTTGGGGCTGGCTCCGCCCATGTTTGATTTCATTTAGAGGTGCATCTAAGCATCAGAATCCAAATAGTGGTCTCATGTGCCGCGCGCTAGAAAAACAAATAATGTGCGTCATAATTCCCTTCACATTGAACATATGACAACTGATCAACCTCCTAATCACTGAGACAAGATTTTCTGTCTTATTAATCCTCCATTCATACCAACCTTACCATTGCTACAAGCCCAAAACATTTTTAACTATGAACCTTCACTTCCCACATCCTGACTTCCAATATCCCAGGCCATCTGTAGCCCTAATAAGGCCCAAGATTGTGTATAATTTTGTCCTAAACCGGGGAACAAATTGTGCAACATTCCTTCACAACAACAACAATAATAATAATAAATACTGAATCAGTGTGCACGCCTAATATTATATCATTATTCACGCCTAAATTCATCGAAATGGAATGATTTCAGAGGAAATCAAAATAAGCCTTCGTTAATTTGGATCCCTATTACAAGAATTAACAACATTAGAGAAGACTCACTTCTCTCTTTCAAAGATCGTCGCACACATCTTTAGTGCTACTATATAAAATAATATATATATGCGATTCTCATGAAGATAGAAAATCATACTAACAATTATAATAATTACGTTAAAAAGAAAAAAAAAAATCACTTGTGAAGAGTGCGAACGCTAAACAGCTTAACATCATCAATAACGGGGCCACATAAAGCTCCGGAATTGTCACTCTTCATGTGATAATAGCTGCTCAAAAAACGCACCGTTGTCCGGCTCGAAACTGCTCTGAACCGATGCTTAGCCTTAATGAAGTTGCCTTTCCCGTGTGAATCGTACGGCACCCGGAGCGTCTCCATCCCGGCGAACGCCTCAATCAACATGGAGCCTTCGCAGGAATTCTGGGCGTCTCCGACCGAGAAAACGAGATCGTACCACCACCCTTTGTTGGTGCGCACCACTTGCGCGATCGCGCTCTCTCTCCCGGCCACCAACTCGACGGCCCGTTGGCCTTCCGGCACCGCGAAATGGTCCGAATCGATGTACTTCACGGCCTTGGCGGATTCGATCATCCATCCGGGCAATGGGGAGTGATCGTCCTCGATGTTTGGAGGAATCAGGACTCCGCTGGTTATCTTGGGGAATACAAATGGTCCTTCTTCGAAGTTTCCATTCTTCAACAAATTGCCTGCATCCATCCCAACAAACTCATTCATTATTATATTCATAATTACCTCATTTATATCTGTCGGATCGCTTAATTTATTACTGAAAATATTAATACTCCCTCTGTCTAAAAAAATATCCACATTATAGCTGCAGAATTAACAGATTCTAGCGTAATAATTTTTTAGGACAGAATGAATATTAGTAACATGCAATTTTTAGTATAATATAATACTATTACAAATTTCAAAACTACGTAGTATATGTTACCTCGGGTCTTAATAGGTTGACGCAGGGCTTTGAGGGCGACCGAGTCAATCAACGGGCCACAAGCCGGGTGTTTCTCTTTACCCGGGTTATGGATGGAAATCTCAATCTCCCTAAACTCAGCCAAAAATCCCCAACAATAAGAATCCCAACCGTCGCTGCTGTACATGGTTTGCATCGGAAGCATTCCCCAGTCTTTGGGCTCTTTGTTGGGCGAAACCGACACGTTGAGGAGCTCTTCCTGAGCACAGGTTCGGGCAGCGGTGAATGAAATGGAGTAGAACCATCCAACGTTAACTTTTACTTTGGTCTTGATGGAGGCTTCGTCTCCGAGTCTAACGGCGTATTTGCCTTGGGGGACAACAAGGAGCATGTCGCCTTGCTTTTGACCTGATTTTATGTATTCTACGAAACCTGAGATTTCCCAGTTGGCTATGGCTTTTGGATCTATTACTTGTGTTCCCTTCATTTGTGATGGTTTTGGTCCCATCTCAAAGTTACCGTTTGGTAATAAAGTCCCTGTCAAAAAGAAAAATTTAATCATCAGCTAAATTGGTTCTTCACAAAAGTGATATTCATTTGATGCTTCAATTCAGAAGGGAAAAAAAATCATTTTAAAATACAAATGGCTGTCTACAAGTAATTTCAGGGAAGGATAGTGAATTACTGAATTATTTATGGCCAATGTGAATTTTTTAGTCCTGTCACGAAGCATGACAACTCATAGATCTCACCACCACAATGTAATGAATAATTAACGTAAATTAAAGGTAGAGATCGATAACTTATTCCTAAGTAGCCAGTTGCCAACTCATAGAAGATAACTTTACCATATATGCTCTAATTGTACGTGAATGATGCTCGATTTTTTTCAAAACAGAAAAATAATCCTCGAATTATTTAAACGTACGTATATGAGAGGGGATTTTTTTTTTTTGGGGGGTGAATGGCATAAGCAAATAGAAAATCAAAAGGCTTTGGCAAACTGAATGCAAATTCATCGTTTTTAAATTGAGAGGAAACACTCTTATAAGCGACTCATAAAGAATGTACAAGTTTCATAATGTGGAGTATGGTAGTAAAAACATAAATGTGGATTATGGTTTAAGAAAAAAAAATTACAGCTACCCATTTAAGATCATGTTAGCACTCTAAGATGCAGTTCGTGCTAATCTTGCATTGAGACGAAATGTAACCTCTAGTAAATTATTTATGCATATGGATGGAGAATGAGCTGAATAATAATGTAAATCTTACCATCATTTTTCCGGGACAAAGCGGCTGAGAAACTTGCGAATAGTAGCACCAACGTTAATATACTTAATCTCTTCATATCTAATGTACAAAGTATAAGAGAGAGAACAAGAAAGAAAGGAAAAGAGAGGAGTAGAAGAAGTATATATATATGATATAATTTGGTTTGAAATCTTGGGAGGGATTGCTCGGGTTTATATGCACTTTGGGTTGATGAGAAAGCCCCTTATCTCTGCGACGAATAACATGAATTGCTATGACACCTATCCATCCATTTATTTTAATTCAAATTATCGAGAATTAGTATTAAATAAAATAAATTTAATTTGGAAATATAACATAAAATAATTGAGACAGACAGTGGGGGTGTAGATTTTATTTGTGTGACACACCATCCCAACAGGTCCAAGTAATAAAGCAGCAACCTGCATGTGCCCTCCCGGCCAGAAGACAAGATATCACCCATGAAAGACACTGAAAACCCTGAAGAAATAACATGGCCTCTCCCTCTTTCTTTTTTCTCTTTTAAAAGGTTTCCTTTTTCTTTTCCGATTTAGATCATTTGTAGTATTATTTTTCCTAAGCTATGGTATCGAAGTTAAAACAAAATAATCCGTGAAACTTTACTTACTGCGTCCTGATATTATTGTTCAGTTTGAATTTTTAGTTTTAATATAATTGAAAATTCAAATTGGATAATAATTTTAGGGTAGAGAAAACATAAAATGTTATCAAGGTTGTTACACAAAAAAAGTTATACAAATAACGTTTGTCTTTTTCCGCTAACAGTTGTAAGGGATTGCATGAGATCCTTGGTGAGTTTGCGTTTTCGTTTCTCAAGGGTAAGAACATAACTGCCATAATTTATGCAATCAAATGGGGTATTTTTAATCCAATTATTATAACCATTCATCAAAGTGATAGCAACCCGAATCTGGAGTTTGAAAAAAGTCTTGACTAGGTATATCTGGTGTGGGTTGAACGCAATCCATTCATGTTACTATTAATTATTGCAATTTGTTAAAGTCTCAAAGACACAAGTTATTATAATCTTTATTTCCCCAATGTAATAAATTCTGATGATTAGAAGAAGAAGTGGCTTTGGTTAATCAACTAATTAAATCCCATATTGTTATGGTTAAAAGAAGGTTGACTGCTTATGACTTCCATGATTGAATATTTTAGCACCACTCTGATTAGGTTCGCTGCATCCGGGTGGGTGGGTATCAAGAGTTACTTATTCCTCTTAATAAAGTTATACCGTAGTTGAAACATAAATCTTCTTGACGTTTTCTATTCACGAAATATTATGATTTCTTGTAATTATAATTATAGACCTTGTTTTCTTTTGTTGGACAAAAAACATCGTTAATTATCTTCCTTGGACCGGATTAAACGAATGATAGACGATTTATATAAACTTATAATTTTCTGAGTACCTGTTTGAATTAATAATGTTTGTGAACTTCTAAATGTATACAGTGACACCCGTGAATCAAAATTGGATGTGAATAGTATTACTTCATTGGTTCCGAAAAATGAAACTGATCTTATTTTTGTATCATTATTATAACCCATGATTCTACAATAAATTTGGCTTCTTTTTTTGGATTTTCAGAGGGAACTTCTCGTTCAAAATTCATTTATCTGACGTTTTTTGGGCATGTTACAGCATACTACATGCTCTAGCATGGATGCCTGTATTACCACCCCTTTAATTCATTCACATGCATGGTCTTGACTCTTGAGGTTGGGGAAAACGCCATCCATTCCCCCAAGGGAATAAACAATTTTTAGTACTAACTTCCTAGCTCAATAACTTCACCTTTTTCAGTTTCCCAAATGAAATTTTTTGAATATTTTACACATTTCTTCTATCTCGTTTGTATAATGCTCTATTGTTCATAAATCTTTCATTAAGAAAAAAAAAATGTACACCCTACTAAAGGGAGAGTTTTGTTTTCTAACTCAAATAGTAGTATTAATACAAATCGAACAATTGTTATGGAACAGACGAAGAAGAGTACCCATTATGATTACGAATCAAATTTCCAATCACGCAATGAGCCTAAAACCTAAACTGGTATTGGTCCAAGGTTGATTAAGACACAAGCACATGGATTTGGTACCAATTAACCAGATGATATGATGATGTTTGGGCGTTGGTTCTTGGAAAAGCAAATTAGTAATCCTATAAATCTTGTCTTCTTAAGGAATCATTTAAAAAATACTACTAGTACTAATAATAGTAGTAGAAATTATAATAAATTAAATTAAAGTTTTGAGCAAAAGAATTTTCAGAGGAAGGAGTTGGGAAATGGGAACATATTCACCGAGAGATCTGATGTAGAGCCCCCATGTGCACCAACTGACGCTTTTTTATTCGTATTTAATTTTTGAGCCATAAGAATTAGCGCTTTTTGGTCTCTTACCTCCACGCTTTTGTTTATGGCTTCGGTCGGCAATACTTCTCTTTTTTTGGGAAAAAAAAAAAAGAGAAAGAAATCGTAAATATACATGTGCATTATTAAGTTGAAATCAATTGATACCGTAGGAAGTTGGCAGTTATGGTTTTAACTCTACCATATCTTTTTGTAGTTTGATTTTACTTCTATTGTGTTTACTCGGTTTTGAAAAGGCAAAATTCATGCTCTGAAATCATTGTCTGATTTACAAATACTTAAATATGACAAGTCTTTTTTTAACAGAGAATATATATACTCCATCCATTCTTCTAAAATATATGTGGTTGGAGGAGTTTCACAAAATTTAAGTAGACAAAAATATTTAATTAAAATACTCCCTCCATTCCAAAATAAGTGTCGTTTTGGCAAAATGAAGAAATTCTAAAATAAGTGTCGTTTTCAGATTCCAATGCATTTTTTGTCAAAAATTTCCAAACATACCCTCAAAAGAAATAATATTATTGGTAAACATTTATTTTAATGGGTTGGTTGAGGATATTCTAGTAATTTAGTTACCTTATTTAATATTTTCTTAAACTATGTGCAAACTCTAAAATGACACTTATTTAGAACGGAGGGAGTACTAAACTATCCTTATTTATTTTCAATACAATTCTATTCCCAATATCATTTAGTTCTAATACACTTCTACTTTAAATACAATCACAATTTCCCATGCAGGAGCAATATTAGAAAAAATTGACAAAATATACCTAGATATGCGAAAATAACATTTATTTTAAAAACAATTGATTTTCCTCTAAAGACATATATTTTGGAATTGAAGAAGTATATGCAGCATATAATAAGTATTCGCAAACTTTTTTTTCAAAGAAGTTTGGTTTTAGACTAAGGTTCTTTTCCTCTTGAGTTATAATTAAATTACTCTCTTAACTGTACTTTCAACTATCACCATCAATCAAACTTCTTGTATTATTATGTGTAAAGAGTTTAACTACTGTTACCTAAAGAAGAACTAAGGCTGTTTTTACTTTTTATTGATGTCTATTGGTCGAATCTATGGATTGTTTTCTCTTCTTTATATAAGGCATTTTTCAAGTTTGTAAATTTTGTGGAAATTATTTTTTAATTTCTGGTCATCTATTTATAGATCAATTATTTTGTTTCCTAGATTTGGGCATCGAAAAAAGAAAAAAAGGTGAACTTGAAAATTGCGGGAGAAAAAATTCCAGTTTTTGCTGATGAAATGAATACACAATGTAGGGATGGATTTTCCATGTAAAGCAAGTGGGTGGGAGCATGATGAACATTTTACTCCATATAGTAAACTTGTGTTATACTTCCTTTGCCACATTCATAATGTCTACATTTAAGGGACAACAAACAGCAGTAGAAACTCCAAATCGGATCGGAGGCCATTCTGTAATATTCTTCTGGCCAATGAACAGAAATCTGAATCTGTAATGTTGGTTGTTGATAAGGTTGGTTTTTTGGCTTCAAATGCAGAAATTAAACGTGTAAATTTTGTTTTCTATGGTTTGAAGAGTCTGATCATGCACGTGGTGCGACACGTATTCTTACTCCATCCACCACCGGACCGCACAATGAGCCAGAAAAATCACTTTTCATGTGATAATATGAGCTCAAGAATCTAATCTTTGATCGAGATGACACTGCTTTGAATTGTAACCTGACAAGTTTTGATCCTCCTTTGCCTTTAGATTCATAAGGAACTCGAAATGTTGAGTTGCCTGCGAAAACTTCAACCAGCATTGATCCTTCGCACAAATTCTTGGCGTCGCCTACAAAGAATTCGAGGTTGTAGACTGTGTTTGGGATACTTCTGAGAGTTTGTGCAATCACAGATTCTCTTCCTGCAACAAGTTCTACAGCTCTTTTGCCCTCTGGCACGGCGAAGTGGTCAGAGTCGATGTATCTTACTGCTTTAAGGGATTCAACTACCCATCCAACTAATGGGCAGTGATCATCTTCGATGTTGGAAGGTATCAAGACACCCCAAGTTGTGTTAGGGATAACATATGGACCTTCTTCAAAGTTTCCATTCTTCACTATCCCTGCATTAATGAGGTCATGCAACATTAATGGAGCTGAGAGTGAATATAGTTTCTTAACAATATACTTCCTCAATCCCCAAAACTTAGTCCTGTTTCTTAAAAAATAAAAATAAAAATAGAGTAATGATTTGCCATTTTTCCTGTATGAAAGAGTACCTTGTCTTCTTGTATGGGGAGGAAAAGCCTTAAGAGCTACTAAGTCAATAATCGGACCGCAACCAGGATTGTACTTGTCTGTTTGTGGATGATGAAAAACTATATCAACTTTACTAGCCTCAGCCAAAAATCCCCATGAAAATGTATCCCATCCATCGGTACTATACATTGTTTGCATAGGCAGCATTGCTGAATCATTTGCTTCTGAATTTGGTATCACAGAAAGGTTCAATTTCTCATCTTGTGCACAAGTCCTGGAAACACCAAAGGTAAGCGAATAAAATAGTCCTTTTGTAACTTGGATTGTTGTCCTTATTGATGCGTTGTTTCCAAGCCTGAGGGCAGAATTCCCTCTTGGTACTGGCAGTACCATGTCACCTTGTTTCTGCCCCGACTTTATGTACTCCACGAACCCTGAAATTACCCAGTTTGGTAGAGCATGGGGATCTAAAATGTGGCTTCCGCTCAATTGCCATGATTTTGGACCATGCTCGAAGTTTCCATTGTATACTAGTCCTGTAATTTCCAGAAGTACTTATTAGAAGGAAAACACATGCTTCATGATAACGAAAGCTATGAAGGAAAGCCTAACAAACAACAATCATAAATTCATTTCTACTAACCACATTGTTTTATCGTCAGTGTAGCAGGCAAATTAGGTTAGCTGAGATTTTGGAAGCTTACCCTCTATTAAAGATAGAGCAACAGGCAAGGTAGCGCAAAGAAGCACTAAGGTTACGCTTATGCTGTTCATGTTTTAAAATGTAGGAAGATGCTGAGCTCAGAGAAATGCTGGAAAGGGAAAAACGGATGATTACTTGATAGTGTTTGGAAAGTGTGAAAATCTCTTGCCATTTTATGCAGGGTGAAAGCAAGAAGGTATTACTCGGGTGAAACCTTAACTGCTTGTTTGTCATCTGCTGCTAGCTGACCAAGAAAAAACTAAACAATGATTCACAGTTTCAGCCTCTCTTTATGAACAGAAGTCAATTCAACTGGTGCAGGTACTGGGCATAGAACTATCAATCAAACAAATTTTTATGTTATCCCTAATATTTGTTCTTGTCCAGGCTAGAGCGTTCCAATTCTAACAATTTTCAAGTCTGCATAATTGCAAATTATTATGGACAACGAAATTGCAGATTGCAGTTGGTCTTCGGAATTATACTTGCATACTATATTTTCAATTTGGTGAATCTCCTGTTTTGCTTTGTCCCTATTCTTTAAAGTTGGGTGGGATGCAATGCATATTTCTCCATAAAAACTGACCGCCATGTGCAGGCAATAAACATCACTTCCAAGTAGCAAAAGAAATGAGTCTAGACTGGCGCAGAATCCAGCTCTGAATGAAGGCCTAGTTGACATTTTCAAACTGCATTTTATACAGTTTAGTTTACTCCACCAGTTGTTCCTAAGCGGTTTTGCAGGTTAATTGTCAATCAAGCTGTAACAATGCCACAAGCCCGGCTGAGCCTTTGATTTCTAAATCCTCAAATCACGACTTTGATTGAGGCGCTATCATATCCTAATGATTTGTGGAAAAAACAAATGCCCACTTCTTCAGTTGCAGGTAGTATAAGTTGGGAGGATTTCACTTAACAAAAAAAAAAAAAACAAATTCCAAACACAATTAGCAAGTTGGCCTAACTGTTTATGGTCTAAGTTTCTTAGACTTGTTTTAGTCTTTTAGCTCGACAGTGGAATCTTCCAGGAATTGAAACAAATTTAGGAAACTAGGCACAATCTTTCGAGTTAAAGAAAAGGGTACACAAATCCATTGATAGATGATACGAATAATGCGATACCAAGATCATACAGCAAGCCCTTCGATCAACTGATGAAAGCTAAAATTGGGGGAAACAAATACAACCCCAACATAACGATTTATTCTACAACAACAACAAGACATCAACATCATACAAAAAGTTTCTTCAAGTCGACAAATTTTTGATTAATTACTTTAATGAAGGGCAGGGCAATAGAACCTCAAAATCCCCCCATAAAAGCGGTCATCTTTAGCTGCCTTGACGTCCATAGACATCAGATGCGAGCCGGGAAGCGATGGCAGAGTGGTACATAATATCGTGGAAGTTGGAGGTCTCCGATGTCTTTTTGCGCAGCTCCTTGGCCTTCTCTTCGGTAAAACAACCCACACCAAACTTTGTAGATCTGGTGGGCCGCTGGACGCCGTCTTCCTTCTGGGGATGAACCGGGTCGCCGTTCTTGGAGCCCGGATTCACAATGTAGTCCGGATCGGAGGACCACCCGAAGAGTGGGGTCCACCAGTTGGAGGATCCTCCTCCTTTCTGGTGGTTTGACCGGGAAGAAGCGGAGCAGACAACCGGGGAAACGGCCGGAGAACGGAAGCTGGAAAGTGGGGTTGTGGCCATTTTTACATATATGATTAAAAAATTTTCAGTTTTTTCCGACGAAGCAGAGCTGTTTTCCTTTTCTGGTTTTTGTGAAGAAGGGAAGAAAGAGTGTGAGGAAGGATTTTAAGGATTAAGCGGAAACTTTGGGAAAAGTGGATAAGATTATACACGTGGCAGGAAATAAACAAGTGTATATGGTACTTTTTGCTTTTGTGCTTTTCGCTTTTTGAAGATTAATCAGTTCACCGAAATCGACGTCAGATCCATCCAACCTATGGATTTGACATGACGGATGGCTGAAGCAAAAAGATATTTCCTATTTGTTTTGGGCTTTTTATTGGGCTTTAGATCTTCTTTATCCTCTCTTTGGATGAGCAGATAGAATTTTTCTATACTCCCTCCCTTCGAAAATAAATGTTAAAAAATGAAGAAATTCGAAGATAAGTGTCGTTTTCAAATTTCAACACACTTTTCGTCAAAAGTTTCTAAAATTACCCTCAAAAAATATTGGTGGACAATTTTATAATAGGATTGGTTGAGGATATTCAAATAATTTTATTACCTTATTTAAGAGTTTATTAAACTATATGCAAACTGTAAAATGACACTTATTTTAGAATAGAGGAAGTACCATTTAGTGGGGAAAACCGTTTACATTGAATTCATGATTAAATGAGAGCGTATAGAGTACACAGAACAATCGAAAAGAATGAAGTTTGGTTTTAGGGTGTTCATAATCAATCATCTTCCGAATGTTTAAGAAACTAGTTTGGTGAAGACTAATGAACAAGGCCGGCTTTCTGCTACAGAAATAAGCAGCTGGAGGGGTGACTACTTCCACAATTTCCTCAGCGACATATTCTTATCTGTATCCTTCTTCATTACTTTGCCGACGGCCATCTCAAAGTCCTCTTGTGTGACATGAACCCTCCTCTCACGCAGCGCAAACATTCCTGCTTCCGTGCAAACAGCCTGCCAGAAGCAACAAAAATCACAAAGGGCTTCAGTGGTAATTCCAGAATCTACCCAACTCATAAGAAATAAGACTATATTTAGGCTGAATGAATACACAAACCAACATTTGCTGGATTAAAACACACGTACAAAACATTCACATATGACAGCAATTGCCCTAATACTGCTCGCATACGAAAGAAAGAGCGAACATTCAATTTGGAACTGCTCGCATGCATAACATCTTACTATGGCATGGAATTTGTAAAATCCCATAAAAGCTGAAAAGCAAAGTATATTTGATTTCCAGGTAATGGAAGTAAAATAAGTAGCAGCCAAGCATTTGCAGTACCTTCAGTTCTGCACCAGAGGCGCCATTCATTTTTGCAGCTATCTTCCTTAAATCTATGGCACGCATCAAATTCATCTTCCTCGAGTGTATCTTCAAGATGTCTAGTCGAGACTGTGAATGAATTCAAAAAAATGGGAAGCATGAGAACTAGAAAGCAAAAATAATGGTCTGTAACATTACAAAATGGAAAAATTGCAAAGATCTAAAAAGCCAGCCAACAATTAATTAACATAATCTCAGAGACGCAAGAAGCAGGATGACAAATCTTATGAGTGACCACTGGACAATATGTTGGATTTTTACCTCTTCATTGGGGTTAGGAAACTCAATTTTCCGATCAATCCTTCCAGGCCTAAGAAGTGCTGGGTCCAGAATGTCAATCCTATTTGTTGCCATCAAAACCTGCACCACAGTATTTGAACAGTTTTAAGTAACTCATCGACACCGTAAAATGAACAGATTAAGGGTAGATAAAGATGAGAATAGAAAGAGTACTTTAATTTTCTTGGAAGCTTCAAATCCATCAAGTTGATTGAGAAGCTCGAGCATAGTCCGTTGAACTTCACTATCCCCGTTACCACTTCCAGATTCCATGCGAGCAGACCCTATGCTATCAATTTCATCCATGAAGATGATTGATGGTGCATGTTCCCTGTGAAACACCATGATTGCATTTGAGAGGGTTGAGGCACAATATTTCAAAATAAAGCCCAGTATCAAGAGTCTGTTAGAATAGACAAAATCACCTGGCCATAACAAATAGTTCTCTAACCATCCTAGAGCCTTCTCCAATATATTTCTGAACCAACTCAGATCCAGAAACTCTGATGAAGGTGCAATCAGTATGATGTGCCACAGCTCTTGCAAGCAATGTTTTCCCTGTTCCAGGTGGGCCATAAAGCAAGACTCCCTGTTCCAGACATCAATACGAAAAAGCATTAGATAGGCAAGCATCAAACAGTATGGAAAAAATCAAATCATTTACAGTGATCTTGCCTTTGGTTGTGCTATTCCAAGACTTTCAAATAACTCTGGATGTTTGATTGGCAATTCAATGACCTGTCAACGAGGGGGAAGGAATACATGGTTAAGTATCACATAATGAATTAAAAATACATGCTGATGGACTAGGGAGATAGCTAGTGATGTAAAGGACTACTTAATGGCACAATTGCAGAAATTATCTTTCGACTTTAAGAATACAAAAATAAAAATAAGAAACTATTGTACGATACACAGTAATGTCCAGAAAAGGCACCTCTTTTATCTCCTTAATTTGTTGATCTAGACCACCAATCATGTCATAAGTCGAGTCTGGAACTTTTTCTACTTTCATCAGGTTCACAAGTGGATCAACTTTGCTGGGCAGTATCAAATGAAGCATATAGCTATCATTTTTTAAGGCAACTCGAGTTGATGGTGTGATCTTCGTAATGTCAATATTCTTGTCGATGTCAACCACATACTTACCTTCAGGATGGACCTACGGGAGAATCCAAAAGGTAAATACTATAACTCAAAAGCATTTGGAGCAAATTGCAAATACAGGTGATAAGAATAGCCATGGCCACATGTAAAGGCTAAGCAAAGAAATCACTAAGAGAATACAATGGAGATTGAGAAGAACGAAAAATGACTAACCTTGACTAAGACCTTTGATTTCCCCATAACTTTGACAACTTCACCAACATAAGACCCAGGCTCCTGTAGAAGCTGCAGCTCTTCCTTGAGCATTCTCACTAATCACGATAAAAAAAATTCCATCAAATCATGAAAAAGTCCAGGAGTACCAAGCAATATTAATGCCACTTCAAAGATTTAGATTATAATAAAAACATAAGTAAAACCTTGATGGCTTTTAATTTGAAAACCTACCAGAGAAACACCTTATCTTGCTCTAGATTATACATAATCCAGATGTGATTTAGGAAATACCCCCCAAAAAAGAAAAAGAAGAAAAAAAAACCCTAATACAAGAAACCTTTCACTGTTCAATTGATTTTTGAAACTCCAATTCCAATTGTTACCACAGATCCGAATTCAGAATAATTCATCTGAAACTTTAACAGCAAAGTCCAACCAGCCGGACATATGTAAAACAATAAAGACCGAACTTTCAACACTATGGTAGGAGACAAGCAAAATGGGGAGTCAGTGCAAGCGCTAGTTTGCAATAAATAAGGCTAATTTGATGATGCTAAACCCTCAAAAAAGGTTCCCCCTTTTCAATGATGTTAGGGCAAAAAACTACACGAGCAATAATTATCCGCAGTTGCAACAAATTAGGTCCAAGGACACAAAAATTAGATTCACCAAAAGTAGATTCGGTTTCCAGGTTGCAATTGTATAGTAATTCACTAATTTAACAGGTACTAAAAAATTCAAAGAAAGAAGAAGGCACAGTATGTGAAAAATACCTCCGGAGTTGAGTTGGTTGCGTTGGGCTTCAAGACGCTGAAGGTCGTGGCTTCTCTGGCGGACTTGTAGCTGAAGATCATTGATCCGCTGTTGGTAGTACTGCCTCAGCCCTTCTCCGCCACCGGCGCCGGCACCGGCACCACCTTCTCGTTGATTGGAGTGCGCAAGCGCGTCATCTTTCGGCCAATTACTCTCGACAGCGGCGGTTGCCATTAGAATACAGATGAAATTGAGAAAGATTGCCCTTTTTCTGCACCGATTGAATCGATTTGCCGAACAAGTAGAACGGAGTTTTCGTTTTCAAGAAGTTCTGCTTCTTTCTTGCCTTGACCCGAGACGGATTCCTTTTTACTTTTTCATTGTGTAGAGCATATATATAATTTCTGATTTCTTGAATAAAGGATAACTGAAGCTAGGAAAAAGAATAATACGTAATAATTAATTTAAGTTACTAATAATTTCTCTTATTTGTTTTTTCTTCCAATCCCAATTGGATTAGTGCAGAAAATTAAAAATATTTCTACAGTAATATGATTTTAATTTTTTAATTTAAAATTCCTGTATAATATGTTCGGTCAAATATCATAATTCTATCTTATTTCAAAAAACAAAAAAATCTTAAATCTATCTTTGAAACTAATCTTTAGAAAACAATAGTACATTTCTGTTATCCCATAAAATTGGACATTGTAAATTGTAAGTTATATTTTGCCTCTCGAATTTTGGCAGGATCGACCATAAATCTCCCGAATTTAGATTATATACTACGAAATACCCATCAACTCACAGTCAACCTACCGAACCTCTTCTAACATGATAACATCGTTATCAATTTTGTGTAAATAGTCAAAAATAACCTCAAAACTATATTTTAAAATTTCAAAATTTAAATATTTTTAAAAATATATTATAAATTAAGTTAAAATGTTGTATTAATCTTTTTATAATAATGCACTTATAAATAATAAATTTTCAAAATTAACTATATCATTTTGAAATAAAATAATTTTTATCAATTAATTTATATATTATTAATTATGGATTACCTTTTCCATAGTAACTTATATTTTTAATAATAGGTTAACTTTTTTTTGTAAATTTATAATATAATTAAATGTGAAAATGATGAGTTTAGTAAATCTTCATTTTTAACATCTCACAGTGTCTTTTTTATACCCAAAAAAGTGTTTGAAGATACAAGATCCTTGGACATAGAGAGCCATGGAGGAGTATTGCCATTTGTGGTAAGCCCTCATGTCTGTATAACGATACTTTAATTACGAGAAAAAATCAACTGAAACTCAAAGATTGAATGAAATTATAGATTTTTATCACTGTACATCAGAAGATTGTCAATGGCCGGAAATATATCGTGCTTGCGCACTTGCATCTTCCCATAGAAGGGCATTCTTGTTCAATATTTCGGAGGTAAGTATGTACATTTGTTTCGAACAAATTCTTAAAATCCTTGTGCCATTTCTAACCTCGTGGTTTGCTTATCCAATACTCTCACTTGTGATTCAGAACGAAAAGGTTGATTCACTCACTCATTATTATATTTTGTGTAACATTTGAGGATTCAACTAGAAGTTGTACTACCAGTATAAGACTTACCAAATGTCAAAGTGAGAGTATTCATACTCAGATCAAAAGCTTCCAACCTGAAAATTTATGCTTCTTTGAAAATTCATTTTGTGTAATCTCTGTTAAACAGCATACTGTCATTAATGATTTGCCTGCATCTGGACAGGATCAAGCTGCTTCATCAATATAAAAGGCATGTTCAAAATTGAAGACAAAGAAGTCGAATTGCAGAGCATCTTAAGTTACTTGACCGAAGAAGAACACAGAGCCCAGAATCAAACTCCTTGTTTTGCATCACCACACACCTTAAAAGTAAACGGAATCAAACAAATGGTCATGTTCCTAAAAGTAGTGCAGAATTGTGCCTTTTTCAATCTTCCTCGTACGAATGGAATCATCAATCGTGACTCATAAAAAAAAAATTACAAAAAAAATTATTCAATCTGTCCAGGATATACGATAAGAGAAAGAAGAAAGAAAAAAAAAAATCCAAACTACGTAATGGTGGAGGGATTACTAGCTGACACACAAACCTGCGAAACTTATTATACAGCATTTACGACTTTTTTAGCATAAATTCATCATTCTTAAGGGTTTTTTTTTTGTTAATACAAAAGAATATTGCACCGTCTTGAATATTTTAATGTTAAAAAGATACTTTTAGAAAGAAAGTGACAAAACACATAATGATACTCTTAGAAGTTTAATCTTTGATCCATTAATCTATTTTATTTTCTAAATATTTTTAAGCATTCTTACTTTGTTGCAAGAGATTGATTACTTAATTATAAACCATTATAGTAATGGATTTGCATACAAATATATATATATATATATATATGCATATGTTTGTGCGTGTGCCCATTAATTTTACATTTTGAGTTTTTTTGTGTGTGTGCATATTGTATTAATATTGTTGTCCTTTTTTTGGGGTGATAAAATTCTGACTATATAAGGAATAACTCCAAAGGTAATGATTTATGTAGAGAAAATTTGCAAAGAATTCTAAGAAATAATAAATCTTCACCGTCCATACTTATACCTAAAGGGATAGTTAATATTCAGTCACATTATCCTTGTTAAAATCCCTTACAAATTTTCATGTATGTATCAGAACACTACTCTTATTGCCATAGTGGCATAGTCATAACTCATAACACTCTCTTGTTCTCTTTTCCAAATTTTAAGTTTCAAATACTACCATGAGCGAAGGCATTAGTCACTGTTATTGACTGTGGACATCCTGCAATTTGAAAAAATAAAAAAATAAAAAAAATTCCAAATGCTTACTGCAAAGTCATTTAATTATAGGTTAAATTAGGTTTAAATAATCTCATGGGTACTGATCCTAACAAATCTAAGAACTTGGAGGAGGAAGATGCAATTTATCCAAAGAGAAGTTTACCAAAATGAACTTGGAAGAATATACCGATGCTATAAAAGGAGGCAAATGACCATTACGTTTTCCTGCTCCCAGCCCTACATACATCCAGTTATGTAGTGTGTGAATTTTAGAAATTAGACTAGAATTTTCTTCCGATTTTTTTTTGTTTTCTTTTTTGGGTTTTTGATTCCTCTCGTCCCTATAATCGCCAGTGTTTCGCCGTGATCTTTTATCGTTTTCATCAATTTCTTACCATACCTTCAGAGATTAGGGGAACCTCGGATGAGTTTGAGTTGAGGTGTCGATCCGCCGCAGCATAAGTAATAATCTCGCATCCGATTAGGGTTTCCAGCCAATTGATACTCCGGCGAATACATAGATATATACAGCTATCCCAGATTATTTTTGGAGAATTTTTTTCCTGTTTTTTGTTATGTGATTTGCGGGGACAATTGTTGGGCTTTTTTTTTTCGGGTCAATTGTCACTGGATTTTGTTCTTGAGTTCTTGATTTGGGGATCGAGAACTCGGGGTCCGATAAATTTGTCTAGTCGAAGTGAATTTTTTTTTTTTATATACATTTAGTTCCTTTTGTTGGGATTAATCTCGCAATTTGATGGATAAGAAGAAGGCTGCCGCTCCCCTGGTTTGCCATGGCCATTCTCGTCCAGTCGTGGATTTGTTTTACAGTCCGATCACTCCCGATGGGTTCTTTCTTATAAGTGCCAGCAAGGGTAAGTGCTTGAAAATCTATCAGTACCATTGTTAATGTTGGTAGGTGGATTCATGTTTTGATTTTGATTATTCATCGGCATATGATTTATGCAATTAAAAGATTATTGTAGATGAAATGGAGTTGAATTTTTGTCTCTATGAAGTGTGCAAAAAGGACAGTCCCAATATTTCTTCTTGATGGATGATGTTAACTCATTCAGGAATGGTCCTAGTGTTCCTCGCGTATTGATAACACTATATGTATCTTTATTTTTTATGTCACAGCTATCAATTTGAGCCTGTTTGCTAATCTCTTTGGCTTCTGAAAGATAATTGACTTTTTTGATGCTGCAATAAAGTAATCTTAATGAATTCTTTTGTTTGTCATACTGGATGGGGCAGCGATATTATCCTATCATAAACTAACTGACTTTTGGATAATAATACCCCTTCTATCTGTTTTACTATGTTATTTCATATGGGAGAACAGACTTTACTGGATCATTCTAATCACTGTACCTTTTGTCAGATTCAAATCCTATGTTGCGGAATGGAGGGACTGGAGATTGGATTGGAACATTTGAAGGACATAAAGGTGCAGTTTGGTGTTGTGTTCTAGATAAACCTGCTTTCCGCGCGGCATCAGCCTCTGCTGATTTCAGCGCGTAAGTATCCGCTTTTCCCTTTTCACATTTCTGGTAACAGATCATAGACCTAAGTACTCTTTTAGTTTAATGGATTGATTGTTCGAAAGATCCAATCTTGTTCTCCGTGCAACTGGAAAATCATCATATCTTTTTATGCTTCAATGCAGTTTATTACTTTGCATGTACTCACTTGATTTATGTTTCTTCTTGTTGTCGCTTATTACAGGAAGCTATGGGATGCCTTGACAGGTGATGAATTGCACTCGTTTGAGCATAAGCATATAGTTCGAGCATGCGCCTTTTCTGAGGTGATTTCAAGTTTTAGTTTTCTGTATTGTTTAGTTGTGCGGGTGGAGTTTTCTTCTGGTGTCTTGCTTAGTTATGTTGCCACTGAGGACTGTCTTACTGTTCTTGAGTATTAACAAAGAAACTTCTTTTCATGCCTTTTCAAATTATTACTCTTTCCTTTCCTTAAGTTGACCCTTCTTTTTCTGGGAAGAACTGTTAGTTTTTCTTTCTTTCTTGCCAATGTTTTCTTTATGATAATTACTCCCAGCTTTAACATTCTTCCGCAATAAAAGTAAGATCTGTATGTCATTTTGCTATCTGGACGCGTCCATTTAGAACATGACCATAATTTTCTCCCTCGTTAGAAGCCATTACCATGATTCTTCTTCATCTATGCATTTTGAATTATAATAAAAGGTGATCACTGGGATTCTGTTTATTTTGCAGGACACGCACTATTTACTTACTGGTGGTTTTGAAAAAATTCTTCGTATATACGATCTGAATAGACCAGATGCACCTCCAAGAGAAGTTGACAAGTCTCCTGGTTCAATTAGAACTCTTGCATGGCTCCACAGTGATCAGACCATATTGAGTTCTTGCTCTGATATGGGTGGTGTGAGGTATGCATCTTATAGTTTTGCTCTTCTCAACTGTTCATTGGAGTTGAAAGTCTTTCAGAACTCATGATAGAACTTGTAATCATACTTATATGGGCTTTTATGTAATGATGGATGCCTTGCTAAAAATCTCGACTATAAATGAATTTCATCCCTATCCCCATGTGTGTCACTAATTCTAATTAACAAGTTGGACTTGACACACCTGCTCTTTAAGGCTTCTGTTCTCAATAATGAATATACTATCTTGTTTTGTGCGATTCTTGTAAACATTACATTCTTTAATCCCAGCGCTGGTATCGCAGGTTATGGGATGTCCGAACTGGGAATATTGTCAGAACACTAGAGACCAAATCAGCTGTGACTAGTGCCGAAGTGAGTCAGGATGGCCGTTACATCACGACAGCAGATGGGTCCACTATCAAATTTTGGGACGCAAATCAGTACGTTAACTTTTATGCTGTTATGGAATCCACGTCTCTTTTGCATGTGTTGTACACGTGAACCTTGAGTTTGCTAATATGGAAGTGAATATTCTTTGGAGTTCTATCTAATATTTCTTTGCACATTTTTGCTTTTCCTACAGTTTTGGGTTGGTGAAGAGCTATGACATGCCATGCAACATGGAATCAGCTTCATTAGAACCAAAATATGGCAATAAGTTTATTGCTGGAGGTGAAGACTTGTGGGTTCATGTCTTTGATTTTCACACGGGGGCAGAAATAGGTATAAAATCTTTCCTAAAGCTGATATTTTGAAGTGTCCTGAATGTTATTTTATCACCGTCTGTAGATTCTGAATTTATCGTTTGTTATCATATTGAAAGCTAATATGTTGCTTGTTACATTGTTAAAGCATGCAATAAGGGTCACCATGGGCCAGTGCACTGCGTTCGATTTTCTCCAGGGGGTGAATCATATGCCTCCGGTTCTGAAGATGGAACAATTAGGATATGGCAGACACCTAACCATAATGAGGATGATCCATTTGTTGCAAACGGGCCAAGTGGTGAAGGGAAGGATGTAGCTGCAGAAGTAGCCGAAAAGGTTGAGGCCTTGGACTTAACAGACGAGAAGAAGCAGCCTGGTGATGATGAGGGATCTAAAACAGATGTCTAACCAGTACTAGGGTCATATAATGTGGTTCGTTTTGCAACTAAGACAGATTGTTATGTTGTAAGTGGTAGATTGGTTTAAGTGCGGTTTTCTTAAATAATTATAAAGTTGATGAAAATTTATCTTTTCAAGTTTCATCTTAATGATGTGTCCATCAAAACCCGGGTTAGATTGGATAGGTACTGAAATTCTTATTCATACAATAACACCAAACACGTCGAATGGGAAGAGTACGGTGTTTGAAACACAGATATTTGCTACAAAAATACAACAATCACAAAAGCAGAAACGTACCAGTGCATCATCACGTAGAAAAGGAAACTTTGGATTTGTTTTGGAGGAAGTCAGTCAAAACCTATTCCTAACTAAGGAAAAGAAATAACAACTAACAAGGAGTACCATATATAAAGCACGGGTGAAAACGTGTTTGTTATCCTGGAACCTTAACTGTGTATATCTCTCTCCTTGTATCGCACCTACTACTTACCTTAAACAACCCTCTGCCGTCTTGCTGTGAAAGAAGTGATTAATTAAATACGTTTATTAAAATTTAAAACCCATCGACCGGTGAACCTCCTGTCCAGTAGATCCGACGGTTTTACACAATTTCACTTTTTGAAAGCTGTTAGAAAAAAAGCTTGAATTCAATGGAGGAGAAGAATAAAAAGAAACAAGAAAGGGGTGGCGCGGATTATCTTAGCGAGTTGCCAGATGAGATCCTGGGGATCATCTTGATGATGATGATGTTGATGAACCAGTCTCAGATCAGAGTGTAATTATGACGCCAAAAAATATGGTGATTGGGTAGATAGAGTGTTGCGTGTACACAAAGCTCCAACTGTGGAACAGTTGCGAATCGTGTTTGATATGGGCGGAGAGCATAAACTCTCCATGCTAAAAGGGTTCAGAAGTTTGAAGTGGACTTAAACCGTTTTGAAGGATGCAGAATAATTAGTTCTGATACTAATGCCTACACTTTCCCGTCTCGGGTTTTGGATTTTTGGTTTCCCTTTCCCAGCTTTGACAGGCTAAGGACCTTGTCCCTGATATCCGTTTCTATATCAGAAGCTGATCTTGATTACTGTTTGTCCAATTGCACTTTGCTCGAGCAATTACTGATAGAGAACTCGGCCGCATAAATTACAAAATGTGAGAGTTTCTGCTGATCAATCACAGAGACTGAAGCACTTGGAAATAAGATATTGTGAAAGGTTGGAGAACATAGAGGTTTCATCGTTAACAAGTTTGACATGTTTCAAGTATGCGGGGAAATACATAAACGTCAGGTTTGGAAAGGTTCCGGGGATCTCTCAAGTGTCCCTAGCTTTGCCTTACTTAATGAATCTTTTTGAATGTCGGGAATGGTTTGTTTCAAATCACCACGGCAATTTGCATCTTTCTCGGGTTCAGAAACTGGAACTGGATATGAGCAATATAGGATGGCGGAAACGCATTCGCTTCCTGAGGGAATTTCCGGAATTCAGCAATCTGAAGGATTTGGAACTGAAATTCATTGCATTGGAGGAAGAGAGTGTTGTTGTTTGTATCAGTTGAATAATAGTTGCGTGTCCTCGTCCACTATCAGCTCTAGGAAAGATTTTTATACCTATTTCTACAGCGCAGTGATAAAATAAGATTCAGGACTGTTCCAAATATCAGCTCTAGGAAAGATTTTTTTACCTATTTCTACAGCGCAGTGATAAAATAAGATTCAGGACTGTTCCAAATATCAGCTCTAGGAAAGATTTTTAACCTACTTCTGCCCCCGTGTGAAAATCAAAGACAAGTCTTCTCCTTCAGCTACAAACTTCTTGCCATTTGCCATACAGTATTTGGGTTCTAATGAAGCTGATTCCATGTTGCATGGCAGCTTTTCACCTCAGTTAAGTTTGGAAATATAAATATCGTAGATATGTTTTACACCTCAATCAACTAATCATGTCGTGCCACGTTGTCCATAATTTTACTCTCCTCCTGCTGATCTTTTGACCGGGCCGTCAATGTGACACTCAGATGTTTGAGATTTATGTGATCCCGCTGATTTTTATTTTTTTTTTAACGGATTAAGATTTGCACAATTATTTTGAATTGTGTCACGAAAGGAAAATTGTTGCTTTAATTTTCAACGGCATTAACACAATTGCTTATAATATTCTTTCTGTCTTAAAATTATATAATCTTTGAGATGTGTTTAAAAATCTTCTTCATAATTGTATGGGGTTCCTATTTCTATTAAGAAAAACTTATAACAGGTTGGAAATTGCTGTCATTATTACACAGGATATTACATTTAATGGCAATTAGCATGTTTCTAAATTTGATTAAACCAATAGATATTCCACTCTTATCTTTTGTACCTATCTTTATTGTCAGATTCACAATAACCACAACAAAAATCGCACTGTGAGTTTGCAAAGCAAAAAAAAAAGATCAATCATGAGAACACTCTATTTCTCCTTTGTTCTTGTTCTCCTTTTATTGGTACAAATTGTTTAAGCACGATTTCTATGTTGAGATTGCAAAATGTGCAATTGCTTTTTCAATCCTGGATTACTGGAATCAAGTTTATATATATATATATATATATATATATATATATATTCATTCTTCTCTTCTTCTTCTTCTTTTTTTTTTTTTCTTTTCTCTTGCTAATTTACGCCTCTGGTTTTGTCTATTGATAGGTAGCAAGTACGGAAAGTGCAAGGCTGAATCCGGAGGAATATTGGGATTCAATGATGGATGGGAAGGTCATGCCTCAAGCGATCAAAAATCTTCTTCATAACAATGACGATCAAACTCAATCAACTGATCAGAAATTCATTAAGAATTTCAATACCAAGGCTAATGTTATCATTTACCACACCCACGCTAATCCTCAAGCCAACGGGCAAACAAGTTGAGAATGATGTTGGTAACGGGCAGTAATCGCCATAGTTAACAAGTTTTCCGTTAATTTGATGGTCAATTATGTAATCTAAACGAATTTGATTTGAATAAAGGTATTTTATCCATTTGTCGATGATTTTGTTTTTCATTTTTTCATCATTTAGGATTACGTACTATGATGAATAAGATGAGTACTCCATAACTATAATCGTACATCTAATTAGTTGGTTGAATGACGCAAGTACGTACATTAGCTTGGTTACAATTTGATTAATATTAATTTTTTTTGGGTGATAGTCATAGATATACTTTTTCATAACAAGGTACTCCCTCCATTCCAAAATAAGTGTCATCATACACTTTGCACATAGTTTAAGAAACTCTTAAATAGGGTAATAAAATTACTTGAATATCCTCAACCAACCCCACTAAAAAAATGTCCACCAATGGTATTAATTCTTTTGAGGGTAGTTTTGAAACTTTTGACAAAAAGTGCATTGAAATGTGAGAACGACACTTATTTTGAAATTTCTCCATTTTACTAAAACGACACTTAGTTTGGAACGAAGGGAGTGCATTGTTTAATGGTGTTTGAAACTAAATTCTTTGAACCTTAATCTTCTTTGTGATAGTATAATCTTGTACAAAGAAATGTTCTTTCCAAATACTTTCTCCTTTTCATAAGAAAAGTTCACCTTGTAAATTGTAATAAATATGCTAAAAGGTATCATTGCTTGGTTAATGAGAGTTTTTTGAAAATTTTAACAAGGTGAATTACTAAACACAACTTAATTTTACTTTATGTAGCTTATAAAAAAGACTAAAATACTCATAAACTCTAAAATCCCAAATTCTTTTATACAATCATCTCTTTTTACATCTTCACACATATTGTTTCAATATATAGTAAAAACTTCACTGATTGTTGATGATTTGCAATGAAAATGAACCAAAGATCATGTGAAAGAGAAGAAATTGAGATAATTTTTGGGTGAATTTTTTTTACTATCTTTCTTTTTCCGTTCTTGTTGTGATTAGGCAACTTTGGTGTTATGGGGTTTTTGGCGGATTTCTTTTAGTTTTCTTTTTTTTTTTCGCGAAATGTTCTGGGCAAAATTTTTGGTTTTGGTATAATCAGTGACCGTGATTTTTTTTTTCGCAAAACAGGTCGTTTTTTTTCTTTTGGTGCGATCTTTTTTTTTTGTGTGATCGGCGATTTTGGTGTGAACATTTTTTTTTTTTTGGTGTGATCATTTTACAATTTTTTTTCAATTAGATTTTGTTATCGGGAGGATTTTGCTGATCTTGAACACATTGAAAGCAAGAGAAAAATGAGTATTACGAAATGCACCTTGATTTTATTATACGCAGCTTGATTTTACTTCGCGTCTTTATTGGGGTATTTTAACCTATTTTACAATATGCGAGAAGTAAAATCAATTTGCGTTTCGTAATACTCTTAACAAGTCCGGCTTAAGGCGACTTTTTGGAAACTCATCGTTAATAATGCTTCTATATGTAAGAATACGTTTACTAAGTAATGGCAATGGTAGTTATGGTATAGGAACCCAAAAGCCATGAACTTTTATTCTATATTCCGTCTTTCGGTATCATTCCTTCTATTCAACCTTATGTTATAGAATCTTCATATTTTTAGGTGCTTAACGTGGGACCTTGACCCCCTATTGGCAAAGTTGGTAGCTCTGAAGCTACCAGTCTACCGGCAAAAAAATGGCCGATTTAATCATAAAATTTAGTACTCTGATCAATTTCATCCCAACATATTTTAAGATGGTTAATTTCATCCCAATATTTAACGTTCTGGTCAATTTTATCATTCCCGATCACAAATTAGTATTTTCTGATAGAAAAATGACCAATTTAATCCTAAAGTTTGACCCTCTGACGATTTCATCACAAAGTATTTTAAGGTAGTCAATTTCATCTTAATGTTTAACACTTCGGCCAATTTCATCATTCCAATCACAAATTAGTATTTTTCGTCTACCAGGATTAAATCAGCCATTTTTCCGTCTACCACTCAAAAGATTTGGTGTTTGACACACATTGAAACTTTGAGGTCACCAGATCTCATGCTTTTGTGGTCATTTTAGTATCCAGATCCCTTTTTGTTGCAAATTACTGTTCATCCTCTTGAATTAGCTTTGTGTTTTTGTTCTTATCATTTTGACTGGATTTGTGGCCGTATTATATTTGTTTCTCTGGTGCTTCGTAAGTGTTTGGGACTGGAAATAATCAGTAAATGGAAGTCAATTTTGAGGATGCTCGTTCGCTGGCTTCAGAGAGCAGGACACAAGATTGTGTATGTTAAGTTTATGTCATTCTTAAC